CTTTGCCGGTCATGAGCAGTGTTGGTTTTCCGCCATACATACCATTTGTCATTTAACATCAAAAGTTCCAATTTGTTCTCATCTGGCCATAGAACTTTCTGCCACATTTTTGTAGGGTTATTGAAATGTTTAAGGGCATAGTCCATTCACAGTTTAAGTAGTGGTTTCATTCTTGTCACCTTACCATACAAGGCTTTCTATGTAAGGTACGTGATATTGTCGAGGTGTGTACAGTAACTCCAGTTGTTGCTATTAAAGTCTACAGCTCCTTCAGCATCACTGTTAGCTTTACAGTTGCTTCTGTGATTTTTCTGTTTTTTCGAGTGCAAACTTTCTTGGGGCGACCTGATTTTGGCAAGGTTGAGGTAGTGTGACACACTTTCCATTTCTTCACAACCAATTTTACAGTACTTAATAGCAAACTGGGAACCTTTAAAATTGATTTATATTCTTCTCTGGACTTGTGCTTCTGAACAATCTTCTCCCTTTGCAGAGAGTTCTATTCTCATCATTCTCAATATGTAACAGTAAACTAAATTTTAACTTTCAAAATACTCTGCTTAAATAAATGCTGATGGCTCTACATGACCTAAAGCATTTTTTCACATGGCTCTATAATATACTTTGGTATCTGATAGTTGTACAGATCTATTTGTATTTACTTTAGGAGGTTATTGACTTAAATCAATGATGGTAAAAGCTGAGGGGTGAAGACTTTTGCAACATGTGTTTTCAAGATTTGTTTCTGTTATATCACTAAATTGGGTAACAGTGCACCTTTTGTTCTTTGTATTTTTTAGAAACTGGTTTGAGGTTAATATAATAAATATTTTTGGCCATTTGAGTTATGTCTTTGACAAAAAAATACCTTAAATGTATTTACCAGCACAAGGGGTTGAAGACTTTTGCAAGGCACCCAACGTATGACTTCACTACATTCATGGGATGATAGTCATAAGAGGTTAAAGAAGATACCAATGCTTTAGTACCATAGTTTATTCATCTTTTAATAGGGAGAGGTGGCAAACAAGGAGCAGTAGAAAATTGTCCAACTTGCAGAGGTACTGGTATGTACACACGAGTTCAACAGCTTGGCCCAGGAATGGTACAGCAGATTCAAAGTATGTGTCCAGAGTGTCAAGGACAAGGAGAACGAATTAATGCAAAAGATCGATGCAAAGCTTGTCAAGGAAAGAAGGTTGTGAGAGAAAGAAAAGTTTTAGAAGTCCATATTGATAAAGGTGAATATCTAGTAGTTGTGAAAGTAATTACTTTTTTTGAAGAACTTTAAATGATGCATAATAAAACTAATTTTTTTTTAAGTTGATTGTTTAATGAGAATAATTTTGTATAAGGTAAAGAATAATTCTTAAAAAGTGGCTTAAAGCAGACTTCTTTGGTTGTGTTTTTTTAGGAATGAAAGATGGACAGAAAATTACCTTCAGTGGTGAAGGGGACCAAGTACCTGGTTTAGAGCCAGGAGACATCATTATTGTCCTTGATGAAAAAGAACACGAACAATTCAAAAGAAGTGGTAGAGATTTGATTACAAGACTTGATTTAACACTTACCGAAGCTCTTTGTGGATTTCAGAAAACCATCAACACGTTAGATCACAGAATACTAGTTATTACATCTATACCAGGTTCGAAAATTTGGATTAATTAAATTGTAGTTGATAGACATAAAAAAAATCAAACCATATTCCAATCATCTCCATTAAGAGTAGTTATTTGATACTGTTTTGTTTCTCTCTTTTTTTGGGGGGGTTGACTTTTCAGTGTGTATTCCAAATGCTCAGAATGTGTACCAACCAGTTACACACAGAGACAATGGAATGAATTTTACAACAGAAGTTATTTTTAACTTGGACATGCCATCTTCTAATAACTTTATCAATTTATTTATAGTTATTAGCTAAAATTAAATTTAGTACAATTATCTTTGTGTAAAAGATTTGAAGAGTTAAATAAGAAAATGTCATTTCATCTACTCACAATTGTGACGTAGAATGATTAGAATCTTCATATTGTTCAATATACAAAACCTCAAAATTAGAGGAAACCATTTTTTGAGGATGTTTATTCCAGTGTTTTTTTGTGATAGAAAAAGTGAAAATATATTGGAATTTCATTAAAGTAAAAACAAAGTTTTAATTTTGTAAAAGTTACATTCAATAAGTTTTGTTCTGTGGAGAATTGTTAGCAGATTATGTCCTCTGATGTCATAATTTTTAATACTTGTTTTCTGCAGTCACATAAAGTTGTCTTTCTGGTAATTATGTTCCACTTCTGTTTTAAGGTCATTATGTTTCTAGTTGCACCTTTGGAATGACTTGCCCTGTTATGTAATTATTCTAGTTTCTGGCATGTGTTAAATGCTTCAGGGACCCCAGCAGTAATTAGTGGAATTAATTGCAATATTCATGGTATTCTTGTGTTTTTGGGTTGTTGTTTTCTTTGTGTTGTGGGACTCGTACATTATTAAGGAGTTTGTAGCCAGAAAATCATAAGATGATGGGTGTAGGTATGAATATTTTTTGTATGAACTCCATCAGTAATTCTAAAGTTAGTAGTTGAGAATTGGCAGGCTTTGTGCTTTATAGCTTTCTATGACATGCCTTATTGTGTTTTTGTCTGTTACAACACTTACTACAATGAAGTTGCTAAGAAATGGTAGTGGGGTGGGATTACTCATTCCTTATATAAAAATACTTTAAGAATCTCAGTAGTAATGGGGTAGCTAAATAATTTTGGTCTTTGACGATTTACATCGAGCCAGCAAAAAAATGTGTTTAAGTTATTATAGTTGCCACTGGAGTTGATTTCTTTGGTTCTTATGTGATACCAAAGCTCTTTTTTTTTTTTTCTGGATAAAATTAGAAGTTCTTGAGGGTGATTTTTTTTATTTTTCATTTTGTCACAAATTAATTTCTTTTATCTTGTCTCAATTACATCTACTTGTACTGCAATGTAATTTGTAAATATCAACATGACATATAATTTTAAAGAAGTTTATGGTGAATGTGGTAGTTACAACAACCCTATTTGTCAGTGTGTTATAAGATCTGCTACATGCTTTGTATTCGTTATCCTTTTCAACACATATAGTGATTTGTCCTCGTTAATTGTGACTTAGTTTTATTGAATGTACGCCTGGAATCTTATTTTTGATATTTCTCCTTTCTATTGTGAAAGAGATACTCTGATATTTTTCAATACTTTTCATACCTTTATCGTATCCAGTGGAATTGCCTGTTTTTCTTATTTTCTACGAGAGTCATGGTGGATTGGAAACTATGTTAAGTCTATTAGAAAACTAGTGAGACTGGGAACAAACGTGTCAGAAGTTGGGCTTAAAAATCATTTTATTTCATAATAAGAGGCATAGATTTAATATTAAAATGTAGAAAGTGCATGGAAGATTTTTGAAAGTGGTATATACTGTCTTTACTGGACAATATCCTTCAAATCAGATCCCTGTCTGGGTACCAGTATCATTGTTAGGTACATATTACATATTCAGTGTATGTTTACTACCTGAGAAGAAAGTTCAGTTTCAATTATGTTATTATTACATAATGAATTTGTATGCTTTCCAACTATGACTTTTTTTTTCCATTTCATGCAAATTGTTATTCTGTTCAGTTCTTGAGATCTTGCATGAGTTCTTATTGAAGATGCTTCTGCAAGTTGGAGCTTTAGACTATCTTATGTGGAGTGTGTTCAGTTGGTGGCATTTTTACCACTGGTAATTATTAGTACAATATACCAACTTACCATTCTGTAAGACCAGTGTTACTAGCTTTTTCTTTATTTTTTTCTTTAGGAGTACAAGTTACATCCGTGCTTCTTATGGTCTTGCCTCCACTACTGTTATAAAAACAATCATTATGATAATGTAGTTCAAAGAGCTACTTATTTTTCTCTATTAGGCCTACATACCTCTTCATATCATTGGTTATTGGAAAACATTATTGTGTAAGGTACTAAAAGATGTGATACATGATTGATCCAAAGGTTATAACAAGATATACATAGAAAGAAGGTAATATTGGAAAATGGAGAAAGAGAGGAATGAAGGGTAAACTTTTCTTGGCAAAACCATAAAACAGGATTAATGTTATAATCAGCAAAAATGTGAACTATATTTTCAAAAAAATGTTAATTTTTTTATTCTAAAGAGTAATAAACAAACTTAATATTGGTACTTCAGCACAATAAGCCTATTTCCATATTCCCAAGTATAATTACTCATAGGATAATTAGCAGGCACTATTTTAAAGTTTTTACCGTATAACATTTCTGAAAACGAAATTGTCTAAAAGCCTAAAACAATTGAACTTGAGGTATATATGTAAAACATTACGTTAACCATAAATTGAACCTTAGTGAATCCAAGAGGGATGATTATTATGGTTGATAAATTTGTACACATTTTCTGTTTTCCTAATATCCATTATTCTTGCATATAGGAGAAGTAATTAAGCATGAAGCAGTTAAATGCATCTTGAGTGAGGGCATGCCAGAATATAGAAACCCATTTGAAAAAGGCCGATTGATAATCCAGTTTGTGGTTAACTTTCCTGCACGCATTGATCCATCTATTGTTGCACAACTAGAAGAGCTATTACCCCCTAGAACAGAATCTATGATACCTGATAATGCAGAAGAGGTATGTTACCAGTACTATATATATATATATATATATATATTAGTACATACTATATATATTATTAATTTACTACTATCTTCTGCTGGTACCGGACGAACGGCGAGTACGTACGGTACCGAGAGGTATTAGTTTA